GTAAGTATTTTATGTTTTAAAAATAGTGGCTTGCAATGCTCCCAATATCCAACCTTACACAAATAGCGCACTGCTCTCTTTTGAATGACAAAAACAGAATCAAACAATTTATTAGAACAGTTACCCCAAAATGCAATGCCATACCTGATATGAGATTCAACCAACGAGAAATAAACCAACTTAGCAGTATTCAAACCAAGTTCATTTGACGCTATTCTTACAGCATAGCAACCACTTGCCAATCGTTTGTTTAGATTTGTAACGTGCTCATTAAACTTAAGTTGAGTATCAACATAAACACCAAGAAATTTACAGCTAGTTTTATTTTCAATTGTGTGTGTGTCTAATAATAAATCATCAAAAAAAAATTTAAATGTCAATATGTTGGTTTTCTTAGAGTTAAAACAAAGCAAGTTAGAGTCACACCAGCTCTTTACAAGATTTAGGTCTTCAGAAATAATCTTTTTCAACTCTTCAATATTTTTTCCGTTCCAGGACAGAGTAATGTCATCAGCGAATGATGTTATTTTAGCTCTAATGGGGAGGTGATTAATATCATTTAAATAAAGTAAAAACAAAATTGGTCCCAACACAGATCCTTGTGGGACACCATTGGTCACAGCCAAGCTTGATGACTGAGTATCACCAATCTTAACAAATTGTTCTCTTCCCGAGAAATAAGATTCAAACCATGAGTATGAGATTCCTCCGAAGCCATAAATTTCTAGTTTTTTAAGCATTATTTTATGATTTACGCAATCAAAGGCTTTAGAGAAATCACAAAACACAACGGAGACAAGCTCACTTTCATTAAGGCTGACGAATACCTGTTCCAAAAGATTAAACATTGCATCATGGGTGCCCTTTAATGGTTGGAATCCAAATTGAGTGTCACTTATTATGTTGTGTTTTGAAAAATATTTCAACATTCTTTCTTTAACTAACTTTTCAACTATTTTTGACAACGTCGAGAGAAGTGATATTGGTCAATAATTACATGGGTTGTCCAAATCGCCACCCTTATAAACAGGCAACACAATAGCTTTTTTCAGGCAGTCTGGAAATACTCCTGTTAAAAATGAAATATTAATACATTCAGACAAGACATATAATGCATTATCAGGCAAGTTTCTAAGCAAATTTAATGAAACATTATCGTGCCCACTGGATTTATTGTTTTTTATTCCTCTAAAGATTTCATTAAGTTCTAATACGTTTGTAGTTTCCAGTACAAATGTGTCATTTATTTTAACATCCAATAAATAAGAACCAGGATCCACATTACTTTTCAAGTTTTGTTGTAAAGTATCAGCAACACTACAGTAGAAGTTGTTGAGAATATGGGGATCTAATTTAACATCTGTTTGAAGAACTGAGTTTTTACCAGTTAACTGATTAATTATTTTCCAGTTTTCTTTGCTGGCATTTTTGGAGGAGTTTATTCTATTCTGATAAAACTTTTCTTTAGCTGCTTTTAAAACACTTTTGTAAATTTTTCTATATCTGCAGAAGTAACTTATGAACTGAGGACAATCAGTAAATTTGCGAATATTTTGTAACGAACGCATGTTTTTTGATGAAACTTTAATAGCGGGAGTAATCCAAAGTTTACTTTTCTTTTGCTTAATTTTTTGTAATGGAAAAGATTTTAAAAATGCATCAGTTACTAATTTTTGGTATTCGTTTAGTGGTGATTGACAATTCAAAACTGCTGGCCAATTTAATTCCTTGCAAATATCTTTAAATTTTTTATAATTGTTGCTGCTAAGTAGTCTACCAACTTTATATTTTGGTGGTTTATTTATCGCAAGTTGAAATTTTGCTAAAACTGCCTCGTGATCCGAAATGCCTACAGGAATTACACTACAGCTAAGAAACATTTGCTTTAAGACAAAATTTGAACACAGATAATCGATTTTGGTTCGAGAATGAACAGTTATTCTAGTAGGTTCGTTAACATACATCTCTAGGTCAAATGATAAAAACAAGTTAGACAGAGTTTGCTGTGCCTCTGATCTGTCATCATCAAAATTTATATTAAGGTCTCCCCCTAGTATCAAACCTGCCTTGGGTGGCAGTTTTGATAAAAGAATTTCAAGATTTTCAAAGTATTGCTTTAAGTTTGAATAATAGGGGGGCCTGTATATACACAAAATATGTAAATTATTTTTTTTGTTATATAACAAGGAGAATTCAAAAACATTTTCAATTAAAAGGGTATTAAACTTTGTTATGGGGGTAACATCAAAAGATTGTAAAAATGTCTTATTGACAAGAATAGCAGTTCCACCATGAGTTTTACTATTTCTACAATAGAGAGACACCACAGTATAATTTTCAATACAAAATGGTTCATTTTCTGCTAGCCAGTGCTCAGTTATAAGTAAGAAAGCTGGAAAATTGTTATCTTCCAACAGCAGATATAAATCATCAAGTTTGTTCCTTAGCGATTGTATATTAATTAGAAATACGGAGACGGCGGCGTTATTATTTTTTATGTTTTGTGCCGCGCTTGCGCAGTTTGTGGAAGAGGTTGGTCTAAAAAATTTACCTCTGGAAAATTATTACCCTTTGAAATAGTGTCGTCATTAATACTAAAGATATTATCATCTATTGGGACATATTTAAGATTTGTTATGCTTTTTACATTAAAGTTCTGAACACACTGTTTTATCAATTTTCCAGTCTTAAACAATCCGTACTTATTTAAATAAAAGTTAGAATTCATACAAAAATCTCCATGAGAAAAATTACCAACCAAATCCAAAAAACCTATGTTAATAGAGAAAATTTGTAGTTTTTGAACAACTTCCCTAAGTTTTTGATTTACATTCCTAACATACAAACATTTCTTGCCATAGTTATTTTTATATGGGAGGTTGCAGACTAACAAATTCGTTCTAAAACACTTATTTGACAGCAATACTATGTCATCTTTTCGGATATCAGTGTCGTTAAGTCCTGCTATTAAAACAACATAGTCCTTATCGGTCAAATCCTTCACATAACAGTCGGAACTATGTATAATATCCCTTATTGTAGTATAAGGTTTTGTCACCAGCTGAGTTACATAGTTGTCGCCCACTGATTTGTCTATAGCATCATATAACATTCTTCCAAAGTCATCAGTTAAAATAACAATCTTATTCTTAGAATTTTTAACCTTTCTTGAATTAACAAGCGAGTTTATAGCACTTATGTCAGCAATATTACCATCTGATTGACTTTTTTGATAATCCTTTTTAGAAACTTTACGCTGCTTGAACTGGAATAATTCTTTGTTGATCTTTTTATTCTCACTAGCATATACATCATTATCATTCTCAAGTGTACTAATTGTTGTTAACATTTGATTTTTCATTGACTTCAAATCATCTAGCTCTTTTACCAGTTTATCACGTTTCTCATCTTCCTCCACTATTATCTGCTGCAAATTCTTGTTCCTCTGTATCAGTTCATCCATACGTTTGGTGGCAGATTTACTAGATAGCTTGATCTTTTCGATTTTTTTATCTAGACTTTTATTTTTCACTAGAACTTCTTCATATTTCTTTTGATGTATGGTAATATCTTTCTAAAGTAAGTGTAAGTTTTGTATTTTAAACATTAGCATGAATAAAGAATCTGAATCTGAATCTAAAAATTTAACAAAACCTCACAAAATCCTTTAAAAATCACTTGAAATCGCATGAAATTTCACAAAATCACACAAAATTTTATTAGAACAAAAAAAATCCAAAATTTCCAAAAATCCTTCAGGATCTCTAATGGCTGTTTTGACCAACTATTTCAGGGGAGCTTCAACAATAAGTATTCCTTCAAATGACAGTCTTCTATAGAGAAATGTTAGTTTAAAAAATACTTATCGTTAAGGCTCCCCTAAATTAGTTGGTGAAAACGCCATAAAAACCCTTTCTAAATTTCCTGAAATGATCCAAAATCATTCAAAATCTCATAAATCTAAAATCTTTTGAAAATCCTGTAAAATCACGTGAATATTTTCAAAATCCTGAAAATCCTACAAAATCCATAAAGATTTAATTATGTACACATTTTATGGAGTTAACTGAACTTTAAGCGGTTAATTGATGAAAATTTGTATACAAGTTGGTTAGAATCCCAGAAAAACTCGTAAAACCTATTTAAAATCCCTGAAAATCTTTAAAATCTGTAAAAATCTAATAATATTTTATGAGAACCAAAAAAATCCGACAAAATCCTATAAACTTCCTAATAAAAAAATTCCTGTTGCAAAAAATCCTTGGGAATCCCCAAAAATCCGTTGAAATCTCTAAAAATCCTTTAGGATCTCTAAAAACTAATTTCTCTAAAATGCTCCAAAATCACCTAAAATCTTTTAAAATCCTGTAAAATCATATGAAGATTTTCAAAATCCTCAAAATCCTACAGAATCAATGAAGATTTAAAATCTGTGTACATATTTTAAGGAGTTAACCACCCCTAGAAAATTGACCCTTTTTGAAGAAAGAAGACATTGGACATGGATTTATGGAACCTTTGAATAATCATAACTTTTTTTCTATCATAGATAAAAACCTGAAATTTGTATTGAATTTTATTTTAGTAGACGACTACAATTCCTAAAAATTTCAACTCATTTGGATTCATAGTTACAGAGATAAAATCGTATTAAGCAATTTGAGGTGATTTATCAATTTTTCTGACATCCTTCTTTCAAACATTTCAGCTAGAAATTAGAAATCTCTCAATAATATGAACTCACAAAAAGCTGATTTTGAAAATATTTCTATAGATAGAAACTCAATTAATAATTTCTCTAGGACTACGAAAAAATTCGTAAGGTTGGCATCACTAAACTAAAACTGTGACTGTACACTGTACTGTAATTATCAGCAAATATTATTGTCCAACAAACAAAATGTAACTTGACCCAATAACAAAATGAGTAATTTTTACGAATAAAGCTTTGTTAGGAAATGATGACTGCAAAATATACAATTTTAACCAAATTTACTCACCTCCAGAAATCTTCCACAGTTTGGAACGAGGCGATTTCCCTTTGGTTTTTCTCCCAGGGCTGATTCCTGTCGTTTTCAAAGTACCACAAAGTCCAGCAGTTTTGCAACGGGTGCTTGACGGAATAGTCCATGGGAGCTTCAATCAGCTCGGCCTCGTCCTTGTAGTCGGTCTTATCATTCTTGAAAATAAATTACAATATTTTTTTTTTTATGAGAGTGCATTCCAATCCAATCAATATGGCCTATATATATATAAAAAAAAATATATGTGCATTTTTTTTTGTCAGTGGTACCTATTACTGCTAAGAAAAATGCTGGTACTATTTTTAATTAAAGGGTGAATCAAGAATTAATAAATATGAATAATTACCTCGATATTTAACGAATCGGTCGACATTTTTGCAGATTTCCGAAGAGCTACCGCAGAAGAACCGAAGGACTGCAAAAAAGGAAAACAGAAAAAAAGGGTTATGTGTTATGTGTCTAATTTAATTGTCAAAAGTCAATACTACAATGTTGCCAACTGAAAAAATAAAAATAACTTCTATTTTTTAAATCTTAATGAGTGAAATTTAAATTTTGGGATTTCAACAATGAGGAATTTGCACAATTCTCTTATTTAATTTTCCACATTGTAAAAAGTTATGTGCCACATAAATTTTGAATAGTTTTTCTGTAAAAAAATATAGAAATTCAAAATAACTCTATTCACGCCCAAACGCAGTCGTAAATCCATGACGTCACAAGACGATATCTGTCAAAACGAGTCTCTGTGCTCCCTCTCTCACCCATTGTATTTTATGTCCGTTTCACGTTAACATAACCACGCTTTCGTTTTTTATCGTTCCATGACGTCATAACCAATTTGAAAGCGTTTTCGCGCACCTTATTTATATTCAATATTTGGAATAATTATTTATTCATTAGTGGTTTAGTAAAAAGAGGATTTAAACATAGAAAATATACTGTTAAAGTAGTTTGAGTCACTTTAAATACATTTCAACTAAAATAATATTGCAATTTTCTCATTGTTAAAGTGCTATCTTTCAAAATTTAAAAAAAAAAATGGCTTCAGCTCTAATAAACTATCAAAATGTTATCAAATTTTCGTTTAGTAAATTAGGTGTACTTACGGTCATCTCGAAAAACAGTTTTTATTAAATAATTTCAAAAAATTGTATCTATCTTTTTGACTTATCACTAAAACCTGCCTCTCAAAAGAGACAAATAAAATATGATTTGGGTTTCTATGACGATTATCCATTTAGCAATTGTTTCACCTTGTTCACCTGGAAACCCCTTTTCGAATTTAAGGTGTATAGAGACGGTTCTGAAATTACTAGTGAAATAGTCAACTTTGTTTTCAAATGCACTAGTTTTGATAATCAGAACAGCTCTAGAGTGTAACGCTCTCGAATTGAACTACTCTACATGAACTTGCACACTCCAAATATGTCACGTCCTCCTGTGGTGCGTGAACGGAACTGCACTCGTGATTGGTGTAATTTGAAATTTGCCGTAAAGATTCAAGCTTTTTATTCGCAAATCAATAATTTTTAGTAACAGTTCTTGGTTCGCACTTCAGAGCATGAATTACTCTAATCGAAGTCGACATCGACGCCGAATATGAGCGATACTCGAGCTGAGTTGTTTCATTATGCTCCGAGTTGTGATAATTTATAGACGTGACCGATGTTATTTGACATTTATTCCCTGTTTTAAATTGGAGTGTATGATACTCGAGAGCAACTTTGAAAACTGCGTTTCAGTGCCCACATAAAGAAGAGTAAGTCACTCTGGAGTGATCAGTGTGATTCGGAATTTGTTACTCGCAATACCGAATCAGAACTGATTTTATTCTGATACCCGGAACAGCTTTTCACGGCCTGGATCATTAAAGTAACATACTCTGGAGTGTTTTACTTTCGAACTAAAAACTTTGACTGTTCTAATTCTGTTCCATTTGTACTAACTCGATTTAAATTATTCAAGATTCCATTTAGGATGGATTCTTTTCGACTTTCTTCTATTGTTCGAGTTACTCTAAGTGTTTTAATTGCTCCAATTTCTGTTTCATCTGCACGAGCTGTGTTCTGTTTGCACTGCTCTGATTGTTACTGAGTATTCGAACTACTCTAATATGCTATTACACAATAGGGAACTTTACAATTTTTTTTTTATTTTTTTAAATCATTTATTTATGCCTTGAAAGAGTATTCCCCAAATATTATTCCCTAAAACTCAATAATAACTTGGTGAAAAATGTTTAAAGTTTCGCGCGAATTAAAAGAATTTCAAACGACCTTAAATCTGGATGACGTCACGTAGTATGATTTTGCGTTAAGCCGGCGCCACACGATGTGTCCAACCATTGGCCCCAACGTTAGATACAACGTTGGGTACAGTGTTTTTTGCTCTAGCATTCGGCAAATGCACATACCTACTTACTTTTGTTACTATAAACATATCACAAATTATAGATTGGCGGATTGCCCTTTGGAATTTCCTTCTTCGGTCATAATTAATAGGTACCTATATCGTTTTATTTATATAATGCTAGGCTAATCATTGAATTTAAGCGAAGTAAACCAATTCTAATATTGATAAAATTTTGAAAAATCAGAGAAAAACGTAAATAAACACAGCTAACGCGTATTTATTATGTAGAGTTCGAGTAAACGCTCGGAGTTGCTGTTTTGTTCTTTTATCCCTGTTCTTCTCATCATAAGAAAAAAAGACGGAAAATGCTCCGAGTGCTCAGTGTTTCAAGACGAACTCACGGTATGATGGACGGTTGCTGATAGACACTGACAAATCATACTACATGACGTCACGACCAGTACCAGAGCGTTTTTTCCCGCTGGAAATAATTTGAATTTTTCTGCATTTTCAATTCCTTATTGTGGCCGTTTGCGACAAAATAAAATTGTTTTTTTCGCTGATATAGGTTTTAATTAATGTATTCTTATGATTTATAGTAATATTTTCATGTTTAAATTTTTTGTCAAGTTCCCTATTAATTTATTCACTATGTATAATAATAGGCTGATTTGAAAATCAATTTTGGGTTTTTAGTAATACTACACTAACTATTCCAAGTGCACTGACTCCTGATCTGTTCAACTGTCCAAATTATTTTGACTGTTTTTAATTTTGTTCTATTTGCACTAACTCGATTTAAATTACTCTAAGCAATCCATCTGCATTTATTTTATTTGAATTACTGCTATTGTTTGAGTTACTCCAAGAGTTCCAGATGCTTTAATTTCTGTTTCATCTACTTTAACTCTGTTCTGTTTGCACTGCTCTGATTATTACTGTTCGAACTATTCCATTATGCTTCAATGAACAGTGAGCTGATTTGAAAATTAATTTTGGGTTTTGAGTAATTTCATTCTGACTGTTCTTGAGTGGATTTGTGGTACTCGGTTAACAACGGTGGAAAATACAGAGTGAATGATGAATATTTTAACTTATCAAAAAACCTTACTCTAGAGTGAGTTTTTAAAATTGTTTGGAACAACTCAGAGCAGCAAATTAAATGAGGAAAATGCCTGTTCGGAATATCTTTGACACCAATTTAAGGCCACACTCAAATTGAACACAGACCTCCAAAAAACTCGAAATGAAAAACTCGCTTCGAAACTGTTCTAGAGTGAGTTTGTAGAAGTACTCTGGATAACTTGGGGAACAATGGAAAATGCAGCGTGAAGACTATTCGGAACAACTGAATAGGATGAAAAACAATAAAAATTAGCTCTAAAATGTTCCGAATCATCTTTGGAACATATAAAGTTGGTAGAGTTTTGTGTTAAAAGTTGTTCTAGAATAGGAAAACTGATGACACAGGTCAAAAACTTGATTTATAGCAGGATTTGTAACACAAACATGACTGTTCTAGAACAATACGAAGTATGTACGACATTTGAACTATTTCTGGAACTGTGCTGAGACGTTTCAAATCAACCCCGAAAGAATTCCGAATCAGCATCCAATTTACTCTAGAACAATTATTGCCTGAAATAAGTTGAGAATATATAAGTTTTGTGTTCAAAACTGTTCTCAAATGATATAAGAAAACCATCAAAAATGTATTCCGGAGTAGGAAACATGATACCAATTAAAAACTTGATTTATATCAAGATTTTGGACAGAACTAGAACAATTTTGAAAGTGTACGATACTAAATTAGTTCTGGAATTGTGCCGGGACGATTCAAATTCAAATCAACCCCAGAACAGATCCGAATCAGCATCCAGTTTACTCCAGAACAATTATAACTTGAAATAAATTCGGAAAATATTGAGTTTTAAGCTTAGAGCAGGTAAAGGTGAAGAGGAGTAGTAACCTGGATTTGAAAAATGAAGCCGTTTTTTTTCCAGGTATTTTGGCACCAAAAAAATGGCAGTATAGGCAATTCAATGTTTTACTTGCATTTTGGTGCTAAACATTTGCCAAAAACTTGGCTTCACTTTAGTTTCATAAGCAGAATGGCGCGTTTTTACTCCCTATGTCCTTAGGACAGCGCTTTACCTGCTCTAAGGTTTTAAGTAATGCTACTCTGACTGTTCCAAGTGCACTGATTTTTTTGATCTGTTCAGCTGTTCGAACTACCTTGAGTGTTCTAATTCTGTTCCATTTGCACTAACCCGATTTAAATTACTCTAAGCATTCCATGTGCATCAATTCTATTTATTTAAATTACTTCTATTGTTCGAGTTACCCTAAGTGTTCCAATTGCTTTAATTTCTGTTTTATCTGCAACTCTGTTCTGTTTGCATTGCTCTGACTGTTATTATTCGGACTATTCTAACGCTAACCCAATCAAATAATTTATTCACTATAGTAGGTTGATTTAAAAATACATTTTGGGTTTTTAGTAATTTCAGTCTGACTGTTGCAAGTGCACTGACTCTTTTTGATCTGTTCAACTGCTCGAAGTACTTTACCTGTTCTAATTCTGTTCCAATTGCACTAACTCGATTTCAGTTACTCTGGATTAATTCTATTTGAATTCCTTTTATTGTTCGAATTACTTTCGAACTACTCTAATATGCTCAATGAATACACTATGGAACTGTTCTACATGAACTTGCAGATTCTCGCGATGATTCGTGACCAAAGTGACATTTGCAGTTATGATTCAAAATTAATTCAAAACTAGTTAAATCTCAGATCCCTAATTTTCGATTTTTCAATTAAAATTTCTAGTTTGCGGTTGATCAAATTTGGATCGAATGTAGTTTACTATGTTCTGAAATGAACACATTGGAACTATTTTGATATTCGGAACAGCTTCTCAATTGGAGTAGCATACTCTGGAGTGTCACGCTCTAGAACTGTTCTACATGAACAAGCACTTGAATTTTTTTGTGATGATTTAAAACGATGTGATTCAAAATTTGCTATTCATAGAAACGATTCGAACAAAATGAAACTATTTTGAATAGAACAGCTTTTCAGTATCTTCATTGATGTGAAATACTCTAGAGTGTCACGCTTTTGAACTGTTCTGCATGAACTGGCACTTGAAAATTCAATTTTGTGACAGAAGTGATTGCAAATTTGCTACTGGATTCGTTCCCAATAATGATTTGGAACCATTCACATCGTAGATCATCAATTTTAAAATTTCTAGTTACATTTTTTGTTCGAGTTGTGTGTTAAAATTGAATGGGGTTTTATCTGTTCCAGAACAGCGAATCAATTCGAGTAAGATACTCTGGAGTGTCACGGTTTTGAATTGTTCTGCTTGAACTAGCAATCGAACCTTCTTGCGATGTGATTCTAAATTTGCTACTTGCAAATCACTAATTTTCAAATTTTTATTATACTTAGTTTAATCTGTACTGTAAGTTCTCGAACGGTGCAAAGTGATTGTGAAGCATTGGAGCATTCTTGAACTGTTCCAGAGTGGGTTATTGAGAAGCAGCTTTAAATTTTTTCACTCCAATGGTTCGGAGTCAAAGTAATGTGAAAAAAATTCACTCTATTTCAACTCCAATGTACAGGGCACTCCAGTACAGTAACCCACTAGATTTTTCCAGGTTATTTTTTGCCTTTTTTTTTGGAGTTTCCATATATTAAACACTTTTATATTTTATTAACCAAACATAGAAACTTTTATTTTAAGTACTTAGGCAATAAAGTGAACATAACTAATTACTAAAATCAGTGATTTTTCTTATTCAAAAACCACATAAGTAAAATGGCACCATTTTAAAACAAAAATAAGCGTACTAATGGGTCATTCTTCAATAATAGAGAAATCCTAAACTTCTAAAATACAATAATAGTCAAAACAACAAATAATAATAAAAAAACTACAAAAACAATATAAAGGGTCTTTGGCACAATATTGTATCATTAAAATCTAATTTTAAAATGAAAATGTAATGTCTTTTTTAGACTTTATACATTAGAATTAAAAACGGAGATACTCAGCTTAAAAAAAAACTTAGAAGCTTTGAGAGTAGAAAGAAAATGGTTCTACAAAAAAAAAGAAGAAAAATGAACACAATATTTGCTATTCTTTCAAATAATAACAAAACCAGTTCTTAACTGTTAAACCTAAACTCTTCTAATCGGATTCCTTGTCAAAATATCATCAATATCTTCGACCAAATCAAGCCTTTTGGCAGATTTCAATGCTCTTTGTAAATCCACCCTCCAAACCTCCCAATCATCCCCGCACCTTTCATGGTGCACCCTCAATATTTCGTGGGTGATTCTCTCAATATCCCTTTGGTATTTCTGATCCAAATTGACGATTCGTCCTTCTGGAATTGAAAAACCTCTGGCAAATTCTCGCCAACTTATGCCAATACAGTCTTTGATCATTTGGTCGATTCTTTGTACTGGATCAGGCAAAACTGGTGGTAAAACTAAAATAATTTTTTTTTAATGTATGGAATGAGGCACTAGCTCAAGGTTCCTAAAAAGTTTATAGGTGGTTTGGTAATGGGTAACTTGATGACGTCATCTGGGTTGCCCTATGGAAATTAGCATTATGTTGAAGCAGCCCAGATGTCGTCATCAAAGTTATCAGGCAACCTGACCTACCTCTCTCAATCAACCTTGGCACTAGCTGACGGTTAATGATAGATAACCTCACTTTCGATGGGGGCGCCGTTTTGTTTTGTTTGTCCTCCCATCAAAAGTGAGGTTATATGTGTGACGTCACGTCAGCTAGTGCCTAATTTAAAGCAAAATTATTTTACCTCTATTTGATAAATCCCTATCAATTGGTGTTGGGGCCAAAATTGTTTGTATTTCATAATTATCAGGGGCCACTTCTTGGATAATTTGCTCCAAATTGTTCCAATGTTCTGGGCCTAAAACGTCCCGTTTTTCTAAAATTTTAAACAAGTAGTTGAGGCTGTCGATTTTTTCAAAGACTCGCTGCGAGTTGATGAAACTTTGAAAATTGGTTTTCAGTCTTTGGAGTCTTGGTGCATGGCAACCTAAATGGAGTAGAATGTCGCGGATTGCCAAGTATTGGTTTTGAGTTATCGATGACATGATTTTAGGTTTTTATTTATAATTATTCGAACATTTTTTGAGGAAATTGAGGAAAATTCTAAAAAACATCAAAATAAAAATAAATAAAAATCTAAACAAAATAACACATTTTTTTTTTTTTGACAGTTGACAAGAATGAATTATGAAACAGCTGATTTGTCAACAGTTTTCAATAGCCGCTTTCCTAGTAGTTGTATTCCTTTCACACCTAGGAGGAGCTCCGGAACAGCTCTGGGGCTTTACGCACTCATTCCTTTCGAAAAGTGTTTGTTGCGCCTGAGCCGCTTTCCAGTATGCGCAATTGGTGCGCTCTAGAGCACCTCGGGGGCGCCACGCACTAGATTTGTACCGTTCCAGTATCATGACGTGAGACGCCTGTTTTAGTGTCAAATATGTCAAATTTTAAAAATAATTCTCTGTTTGTTTGTGCAGTTTGTTTTTTATTTATCATAAATGAAAGAGAATCAAAACTATATTTTTTAAAATGTTCAATCTTGAGATATAACAAGAAATAAATAAATAAATTAAATAAATAGCCACCCACGTATGTGACAGCTGACAGGTTGACGCGTACGTACAGCTCGGGAGCACAACGCCCCGAGTAGCTCCGGGCGTCACACTCCCATACTGGAAAGCGGCTCTGAGTAGTGAGTACTCAAGCCCAACTCAAACCATTAAAATGCATGAAAGCCAGCGTATCTGTTCCTTTCAAATCGGGGTCGACTAACACCGGAGCGAGTAGCTCTAGTGTTTCAAACTATTGAAAGGAATACAACTATTATGGGAATGTGACGGAGCTACTCGTACAAATCTAGTGCGTGGTGCTCCTGGGGTGCTCTAGAGTACGCCAATATACATAGTAAGGTGCTTTTTAGTGACCCATTTGAACATAGCATTTGAGTTATTCCTGAGCAGCTCAGGAGCGCTCCACAATTGCTTTGCGCGTTCCCGTGCTCAGAGTGTCGTACACTTGAACTACTCATTTCTGTTATCCCCTGCCCCCTCGTGCACCAACCATTTCGGTGTTCCATATTCCTGAAGTCCGAAATGGTGGAGGTTAAGGCCCAGTTGTACAATCTTGGTTCAAAACAGAGTTCAGCTGAACTAGACTGGTACTTGAACTTCCCCATTTGAAATGCATTGCTGTCAAAAATGATAGAATTTGATTAATAGCTGACAGCAATGTATTTTAAATGGGAAAGCTCAAGTACCGGTCGAGTTCAGTTGAACTTTGTTTTGAACCAAGATTCTACAACTGGGCCTTAAGCTGGAATTTCATGCATCCGTTTTCCGAAGAAAGATGTCCGAAAAACATTCCATTCTGACATAATCGTATAAAAATATGTCAAAATAGAAGGTTTTTCGGACATTCGTCGGAAAACGGATGGATGAAACTCCGGCCTAAAGCCTAGTACTCATAACTGCAAAATTCGCATTTTTTTGACATTTCTTCGACAATTTGACGTTTAATTCACGCATAAAACGTCAATTTGTCGAAGCAATGTCAAAAAATTGCGAATTTCGCAGTTATGAGTACTAGGCTTAAGGGAGGATTTTCATGCATCCGTTTTTCCGTCGAAATATGTCCGTTTAACATTCTATTCTGACATAATCGTATATAAACATGTCAGAATAGAATGTTAAACGGACATATTTCGACGGAAAAACGGATGCATGAAAATCCTCCCTTAGACGAGAACATTTCAGTGCTGCTCATGTCGAACAGTTCAAGAGCGTCACACTCCAGGAGCATGATACTCTAACAATTTAGGAACCGTCAAAAAAGAAAGGACCCCGCACATTTCTTATGGAAAAGTGATCTATGTGGAATTTTGCTGAATTTTTGATATTGTGTATAGGGAGTCGTCCTTAACAAAAGTGATCATTGCGCTAATGTTCAATACCTAACAGTTTTCAAGATATCAATTAAAAACTTTTTTAATTTGATACTCTTCAGTATGACGTCACCAGTATGCTCACAGCACCGAAAATTAAAACTATCCTTTTCACTTATGACTTTGACCTTTGACTACCGATACTTATACTCTTCTCCTTTTAACATTTAGGAAATAAAAAAAAACAACAACAGGTACAAATGAAATCGCTATATGACTGTCAGGGCATCAGTAAATATTTATTGTAATAAGTACCTATACATTTAAATTAACACTCGGTATAGGAAATACTAAAAGATTTGTACAGCATTTCGTCCAAGAAAATTAATCTTTTTTTTTCTACTTTTTTATGGAATTTTGTTTACGTTACAAATTCTTGCTATGTAGACCCTCAACGGCGTCGAGAGATAAACATCTATTGTTCCCATTGTACTTTTTTTGCTTCGGGGCAAAGGACAGCAGATAAGAGAATTAGGCATTTTTTATTATTGAAACCTCATATTTAGGTCCGCAAGAGGTTCTAGCTGTTTCTCAGTTTTCTTAGTTTTTAGTCGCTTGTAAAACGTTAGTGGATACACATTTATTTTGTATATTTATCAGTATTTTACGCAGAACGGTTTTTATCATTTCCCAGTTAATTTAGAATAAAGAGTTTCTTTTGTTTAAATAGTGCTTTTTATTTCACGAACCGTGTTTCCGAGTATAACAGGTAGTTGTATTTCGGAGCACAAGACATTTGGCGACCGTGACAGGACTGGGATTTGATAGCGAATTGTTTCGTGGCGCGGGTGAATATACCGGGTGTATTGCCGAGTAAGTGGCCGTTTATTTGGACAAACTTTTACTCCGTTTTGTTGGTATCGGGACGTGAGTGGTTTTGAACCAAGTTTGTCAGTGGTGTTTCTAGAAAAAAGGAACAGCAGAAGAAACACCGGAAAGTACTGCGGACGGCTTTTACCAAGACGTTGAAAGAGATGGATGTTCTCTTGGCCGAGCCAGAAATTGACAGGCGCCTGGTAAAAGTATCGATGAGAATGTTGCAGCAAAAACATGATGAAATGAAACTAATCGACAACAAAATTTACACTCTTATGCTTGAAGACGATGTCAGTGAAGAAGACCTGCAAGCTGAGATGGAAGGGAGCGACAGCTACGACAGGAAATTCAATGACGTAAATATACGGTATGAGGAGTGTATGGAACCAGCATATATGGGTCGACCGAGTTCAGAGGCAGAGGATGAGGTAAACTCGATAAATACTAGTGGTAGCAGCAGACAAGGTAGGCGAAAATTTAAATTACCTACATTAGAATTTAAAAAATTTGATGGAAACATTCGCGACTGGCTGCCTTTTTGGTCTCAATTCAACAAAGTGCATGTTGACCCCGACATAGATATAAATGATAAGGTCGAAAATTTGATACAAGCTACTATACCGGGTAGTAGAGCTAGGCAGCTAGTCGACAGTTTTCCGGCAACCGGCGATAATTATAATAAAATGATAGACTCTCTTCGTGAGCGTTTCGGGCGTGAGGACTTACAAATCGAAGTATACGTACGCGAGTTGCTTAAATTAATCATACACAACGCGACATCTGATAACAAAATGGAACTTTCTCTTTTGTATGACAAAATAGAGACTCAATTACGGGCGTTAGAAACACTTAAAATTACGTCAGATAAATATTCGGCTATGCTATTTCCGCTCATAGAATCGTGTCTTCCCGCTGATTTGTTACGAGTTTGGCAACGATTACCTGCGGCAACCGCTGCCGTGTCCGCCGTCGGGTCTCAGGGTTCTTTGAATGCTTCCGGAAGTGCGTCCTTGGAAATCCGTCTTAGGAGTCTTATGTCATTTTTGAAAAATGAAGTTGACAATGAGCAACACGTTTCGTTGGCTGCCGATGCGTTTGGTTTTCGTTCTACTACGGGTAGCGCAGATTTAGGTCGTCACAAGACCATTCAAAGACGGCAATCGAGACTGCCTGATACCGGTACTCCTGCGGCATTAGCTTTGACTAATAATTGTGTTAAATGTATTTTTTGTCAAAATTCGCATGACAGTGTCAGTTGTTTTAAAGCTCAGAATTTAAGCTTGGATGAGAAAAAGAATATTTTGACCAAGAATGCTTTCGATGTCTTAAACCCGGACACCAATCTCGTAACTGCCGCGGCCGATTAAAATGTTTAATATGTTCAAAATCCCATGTAGCTTTAATATGTCCTGAACTGGCAGTAAATAAACGCGAAAATAATGAACCTAAAGAGAAAAACGATATTCCGTCGGGCGCCGACCATGTTCTTGCCAATAATACGAGTACCCAAGTGTTTCTGCAAACTTTGCGCGTCAAAATAGAGGGTGCTACGGGTTCACGATTTGTACGCGCATTAATAGACACTGGTTCACAGAAATCATATGTTTTAAAGTCCACGGCCGAATTTCTGGGATATGTACCCAAACGACAAACAAATATTAACCACGGGTTGTTTGGAGGTAAAGAGTTTCTGGCACGCCACAATTTTTATGATATTAGATTGCGTTGCGGGAATTACAGCTGTGTTTTTGAAGCTTTAGATCAAGCTGTTATTTGTACCGACGTTTCTCCTGTTTTTGATGGACCCTGGATGGAAGAGCTGAGTACTTTGGGGATACCACTGTCAGATATGTGCGATTCTGGACCTATCGAAATTTTAATTGGTTCAGATGTTGCGGGCAAGCTTTATACGGGAAGAAGATATATTCTACCTTGTGGATTAGTAGCAATCGGAACTTTGTTGGGATGGACTCTAATGGGCAAGATACCCTCTGATAAAGCAACCAGCAGCTTAGCTATGACGTCCCTTTCCCTCTTCGTGAAAAATGCTGCTATCAGTGAACTTTGGGAATTAGATGTTTTAGGCATTACTGACCCCACTGATAAAAAATCGCATGAAGAATCTGCACTGGCTGCTAAGGAGTTATTTCTGCAAACTGTTACTGTGAACTCGGAGGGAAGGTATGAGGTTAGGCTGCCTTGGCTTGAAGGTCACCCTGTATTACCCAGCAATTATAACCTGGCTAAGAAAAGACTAGAAAATACTGTTAGGAAAATACGCAATGAGGGATATTTTCAGTCTTACGATCAGGTTTTCGGAGAATGGTTGGACGAGCAGATCATTGAGGAAGTTCCTGAGCAGCAACACGAAAGCGAAGCGCACTATTTGCCCCACAGGCCGGTGG